CGCCGCTGCGTGGACGAAACCGTTTTCGCCGCAGCCAGGGTACCTCAGCGATCTCAGACTTTGCTCGACGCGTCCCCTGATGGACTCCAAGATGGTCCCGGAGGGCTCGCACACAGGCATAGATGGCCCCAGGGGGACGCCCGAGCTGGCCCCAGACGCATCCGAAGCCGCCCAGGTTCTCGCATGCTCCTCGCCACGTGGACGAAACCGTCGCGCCTCCGCGGTACTCAGCGATCCAGACTGCTCGCGCGTCCCCTGATGGCTCCAAGATGGCCGAGGGCTCGCCTCGCACACAGGCATAGACGGCCCCAGGGGGACGCAGGAGCTGGCCCAGACGCATTCACAAAGCGCCAGGTTCTCGCATGCTCCGCCCAGCTGCGTTGGACGAAACCGTTTCGCGCAGCCAGGGATATTCAGCGATCTCAGATTGCTCGACGCGTCCCCTGATGGCTCCAAGAGGTCCAGGAGGGCTCGGCACGCTGCCTGGATGGCCCCAGGGGACGCAGAGATGAACCAAGACGCATCCAAAGCGCCCAGGTTCTCGCATGCTCCGCCGCTGCGTGGGCGAAACCGTTCACGCAGCCAGGGTACTCAGCGATCTCAGACTGCTCGACGCGTCCCCTGATGGCTCCAAGATGGTCCCGGAGGGCTCGGACACGGGCCTGGATGGCCCCAAGGGGACGCAGAGATGGCCCCAGACACATCCAAAGCGCCCAGGTTCTCGCATGCTCCGCCGCTGCGTGGACGAAACCGTTCACGCAGCCAGGGTATTCAGCGATCTCAGACTGCTCGATGCGTCCCCTGATGGCTCCCATCCAAAGCGCCCAGGTTCTCGCATGCTCCGCCGCTGCGTGGACGAAACCGTTCGTGCAGCCAGGGTACTCAGCGATCTCAGACTGCTCGACGCGTCCCCTGATGGCTCCAAGATGGTCCCGGAGGGCTCGCACGCGGGCCTGGATGGCCCCAGGGGGACGCAGAGATGACCCCAGACGCATCCAAAGCGCCCAGGTTCTCGCATGCTCCGCCGCTGCGTGGGCGAAACCGTTCACGCAGCCAGGGTACTCAGCGATCTCAGACTGCTCGACGCGTCCCCTGATGGCTCCAAGATGGTCCCGGAGTGCTCGCACACAGGCATAGATGGCCCCAGGGGGACGCAGAGCTGGCCCCAGACGCATCCGAAGCGCCCAGGTTCTCGCATGCTCCGCCGCTGCGTGGACGAAACCGTTCGCGCAGCCAGGGTACTCAGCGATCTCAGACTGCTCGACGCGTCCCCTGATGGCTCCAAGATGGTCCCGGAGGGCTCGCACACAGGCATAGATGGCCCCAGGGGGACGCAGAGCTGGCCCCAGACGCATCCGAAGCGCCCAGGTTCTCGCATGCTCCGCCGCTGCGTGGGCGAAACCGTTCACGCAGCCAGGGTACTCAGCGATCTCAAGACTGCTCGACGCGTCCCTGATGGCTCCAAGATTGGTCCCGGAGGGCTCGCACAAGGCATAGACGGCCCAGGGGGACGCAGAGCTGGCCCCAGACCATGCCAAAGCGCCCATGTTCCGCATGCTCCAGCCGCTGCGTGGACGAAACCGATCGCGCAGCAGCAGGTATTCAGCGATCTCAGAATGCGCTGACGCGTCCCTGATGGCTCCAAGATGGTCCAGGAGGCTCGCACGCGGGCCTGGATGGCCCCAGGGGGACGCAGAGGATGACCCCAAGACGCATCCAAAGTGGCCCAGGTTCTCGCATCCTCAGCCGCTGCTGTGGGCGAAAACCGTTCACGCGCATTGTGGCTCAGCGATCTCAGGACTGCAAACGGCATCCCTGATGGCCTCCAAGATGGTCCCGGAGGGGCTCGGACACGGGGGCTGGATGGCCCCAAGGTGACTGCCGAGATGGCCCCAGACCACATCCAAAAGCGCCCAGGTTCTCGCATGCTCCGCCGCTGCGTGGACGAAACCGTTCACGCAGCCAGGGTATTCAGCGATCTCAGACTGCTCGATGCGTCCCCTGATGGCTCCAAGATGGTCCCGGAGGGCTCGCACACGGGCCTGGATGGCCCCAAGGGGACGCAGAGATGGCCCCAGACGCATCCAAAGCGCCCAGGTTCTCGCATGCTCCGCCGCTGCGTGGACGAAACCGTTAGCGCAGCCAGGGTACTCAGCCGATCTCAGATGCTCGACGCGTCACCAGAGGTCTCCAAGATGGTACCAGATGGGCTCGCACACGGGCCCGGCTGGGCCGGGTGGAGTGGGGCGGGGGGTGCGGCCCCAGGGGGACGCAGAGATGGCCCCAGACGCATCCAAAGCGCCCAGGTTCTCGCATGCTCCGCCGCTGCGTGGACGAAACCGTTCGCGCAGCCAGGGTACTCAGCGATCTCAGACACGGGCCTGGATGGCCCCAGGGGGACGCAGAGATGACCCCAGACGCATCCAAAACGCCCAGGTTCTCGCATGCTCCGCCGCTGCGTGGACGAACTTGTCCATGCAGCCAGGGCCTCCAGGGCTGCGTGTTGTTGCTTGATGGTCGTCATCGTCGTGGCCGTCGTTGTCGGCGTCGTGGTCGTGGTCGTCGTGGTCGTGGTGGTCGTCGTGGTCTTGGTCGTGATCGTCGTCGTCGTCGTGGTGGTCTCCGTAGTCGTCACGGTCGTCGTGGTCGTCATCGTCGTCGTCGTGCTTGGCGTCGTCGTCGTCGTGGTCTTGGTCGTGGCCGTCGTCGTCGTGGTGGTCGTCGTCGTGGCCGTGGTCGTGGTCGTAGTTGTCGTTGTCGTCGTCGTCGTCGTCGTCGTCGTCGTCGTCGTCCTCGTGGTCGTGAACGTGGTTGTGGTCGTTGTCGTCGCCGTCGTCGTCGTGATCGTCGTCGCCGTGGTCGTGGTCGTGGGCGTGGTCGTCGTGGTGGTCGTGGCCGTGAGCGCGCCCAGTGCAATCTTACTTCATCGCCATTTCTGTCTTCGTCGTCATCGCGATCGTTGTTCTCGTCGTTGCCGTCACATCGTCGTAACCATCATCGTAGCCGCCACCGTCGCCGCCATGATCGGTTAGAAACACTTAGAACTCATACACAGCAGATGATTTTATTGGAGGGATGTCTCATCAAGACTGGAAGTCGAAGCTCTATTTATATATTGTCCAGCTTTTGCGAGGAAGGATGTGGTGAAGAGGTTTCGTCAAATTTTTGGCCTGGTCCCCGGTCTGGTCTGGTCCCAAGTCCTTGGTCTCCGGTTCCTGGTCCCCAGTCCCCAGTTCCCGGTCCCCTGTCCCTAGTCTGGCCCCCACGATCTTTTTTTGGGCCCAGCCCCCGCTCCGGTCCCTGGTCTTTGGTTCCCGGTCCCTGGTCCCCAGTCCCTGTCCCTGGTTCCTGGTCTGGTTCCCGTTCCCTGGTTCCCGCCCCCGGTCCAGTCCCCCGTCCAGGGCCCCCGGTCCTGGTCCCAACACATCTTGGTGCTGCTATTCTTCGGCGCCTGGTCCCTGGTCCCCAGCCCATGGTCCTTGGTCCCCAGTGCCCAGTGCCGCGTCTTGAATTGGGTCCGGTCCCCGCGGTCTGCCGGTCCCCAGTCGTCATGGGTCCCTGGACCCTGGCCCCCGGTCTTCTGTCCCAGGTCTTGGGTCTATGGTCAAATTTGGGTCTGGTCCCCTGTCTGGTCTGGTTCTTCCTGGTTCTTGGTCCCTGGTCCCCAGTCCCTAGTCTCTGCCCCCAGTCCCCCGTCCCCGGTTCCCAGCCACCGGTCCAGTCCCTGGTCCTCTGTCCTTGGTCGAGGTCCGGTCCCCTGTCCTGTGTCTCCGGTGTGGTCCCTGGTCCCAGGTCTATGGTCAAATTTTTGGGCCAGTCCCCGCTCTGGTCTGGTCCCCGGTCCTTGGTCTCCCCGGTCCCCCGTCCCTGGTCCCCTACCCCAGGTCTGGCCGCCTGGTCCCCAGTCCCCGTCCCGGGTCCCTGACTATACTTTGGGTCTGGCCCGCGCCCGGTCCCTGGTCCTTGGTCCCCGGCGCCTGCTCCCTGGTCCCCCCAGAGATCCGATGTCGTGATTTTTTCAATACGGGGTCCTTGGAGGTCCCGACCCCTTCCCCGGGACCGGTTTTTCATCCTGAGTCGTTTTTTGGTGGTCTTGGGGCCCGGCGAGGCCGAAAATTTAGAAAAGCCTTCGTCTTGATTTTTTCAATACATTGGATCCCTGAGCCTGTCCCTGGTTCCGGTCTGGTCCCTGGTCCACGTTTCCCGCTCCTGGGTCCCCGGTCCGGTCCAGTAGAATTCTGCTATCCCCTCCCGCGGCGCGCGCCCCTCTGCGCCCTCGCGCGCCCTCTCTCTGGGTTCCCTGGCCCGCCTCTCCTTGTGGGTCGGTTTCGCTGCCCTCGGCCGCCTTCGGTGCCAGCAGCTTCTCATTTCACTCTCAGCCTCGCTCTTCTCGTCACCAGCACTCTGTCCAGCCCCTCCTTCGTCATCCCTTGGCGGAAGGCTGTTGCACCCTCACAGTCATCCATGCCCAGACGGCTGATGCACCCTCACCGTCATCCATGCCGGGATGGTTGATATCAGTGTGCAGCAGAGCCCAAAGCGGTTTTTGAGGTTGGGCCGCGCTTCTTGCACTCAGACTGTTTCCGCCTCGTCGCCGCGCGCGAGGCCGCTACCGCCCAGAGGTGTGTGTGTGTGTGTGTGTATGTGCGGGCGGCTGGGAGGATACCGTCTGGAGCTTCGCTTTGGGCTGTTTTTGGTTGTTAGAAGGCTATCCTCGACGACATGGAGCCCAAGTGTACGCATGTCCCCCGCCAGGAGCAACGGTGGGCTCGAGACACGCCAACCGCGGCTTAGTGTAGTGGCGGACGACCTGGTGCCCTGAACGCACCTGACTCCAGCCTTGCTCTCGTCCGCTGCCTGCGTTCCTGCAACCGCAGCGTGTTTGCTTGTGCTGTTCATCTGTCCAGCCCCGATGCAGCGGCGCACTTCCTTTCAAGTACCTTGTCCAATCATGGTGCTGAGTTTATTATCTCTCCTCCGTGTGGCGCTGTCTCGGACAGGTGACTTGGAAGGCTGTCGCAACAACTCGGCACAGGAGCACTACGTCCAGGAGTTCGACGAGGCCTTT